ACAAAGAGATACAAACTCACCCAAAGAGACAAAAAACTAAGACTCACCCAAAAAGACAAAAACTAAGACTTACCCAAAGAGACAAAAACTAAAAAAACAGAGGGGAAAAGGAAACTAAAACTAAAACAAAACTCAACTGAAAACAATTTTTTTGTTTGTTTTTTTTTAATAAAAGATAGCAGACAACAACTATCCAAACCTCCCTCCCGAGTCAATGAAATTGATCCAATCTTCATCAGCATCTGAATCTGAATCATGTATTTGCACATGACTTTTCTTGAGGGACTTCATCTTGGTTACATATGTTTTACCTATCATGGATGCTCCAGTAGACGTTTCAACATTTGTTACAATATTGGACTCAACCTTCTTTGAACCAGAACTCATGTCCTTCTTGGTTTCCAGCAACTGGATCTTCTTTGTATCAGCCTTTTTGAAAGATTTACTCATATTGAAATGCAGATTGTGAGAATGGTGAGGTAGTAAGGTATTTGAATGCAAGGAGAGTTACCTTGTTTGTAAAGAAACCTTGATTATAACGACAAACCAGTCAATGGGAGTGTTTTTGACGAAGATACAATCATCCTTAATAACAGTACATTATCCACCATAGGATAGAGACATGTTTTTGTTCTATTTTCTATCTTTCCAAGCTTTGTCTGCTAGAAAATGTTACCATATTTGAAACGACATTCTCTATACCATTGAAAATATTTTTTCTAAGATTGCACAATTACAAGATGAAGGAATATAGGTCACAAACCGACCAAACAGTTACTACTATAATTCTTCAATAGTGTAATTCCAAAATTACCCCTCATATTCTCAATGTAACTTTCACCTCAAATTATGATAAAAATACTTCTTAAAGCTTCTCAGACATACCAATCTTAGGAATATTAATATTTTCCTGTAGCAAGACCCATGACACAATGATGACTAGTACTAATGACTTTGTTCTTCAAGCAACTAACAATCTTGAGTACCTTGACTGTAACAACTTATCACAATATAATATCATGACATCCAGTTTGACATTGTACTCTTTTAGTAATGAACCATATTGAGAATACATCTTCCTTCAATAATGTACTTATCCTTAAAATTATATAAGGATTAAATCATTTTTTATCCAAGAGATAAGATTGTTTCTCAAATAGAACATTCACCTTTCATACTATCTCCATTAGACTTGTCCAATAACTTTTCCTCCAAGACTCATCATCATTAGATACTTCATTTCTGAAACTATTGATGATCAAAAACTCTAATAAACTCCAAATGATGAACTCTCTTTTCTTGAGAATTTTCTTATTCAGTGCATGCTAGCCTTTTAGAGTCTTTCACATTTTCTGGAGTATCAAACTGCTGAGATAGTGTTTCAACATCTAATTGAACATCCGTTCCTTTCTCAATGAATAAATCATTGAATTTTGGTTCAAAAGTTAACATCACTAAAAGTACTTTTCTCAGTAGAGTAAATCAGAAACATACATTGTTCTCTTTCAAGTAGTAGATAAGAACCTTTGAAGACTTCACAGATAATAGATTTTTCTTTGCTTTAGAAACTTTATTGTTATTGGAGATGTGATTCACTTGTTCCAGATTAAATCATCTTGACCTACAAAATATACTGAGATATATCTAAAAGAAATATTAAAAAATCAAATTTGTCAAAATTTAAATAGCTTGTACCGTTGTTCTGGTACAACATCTGGCAGAATATTTGTCTTCATTGTATCCTTCACACTATGTTGTAGCAGCCATACCAAGATGTTATGACAGCTTGCGCAACATCTGTCATGAATCATATTTTAGCAAAATTATTGTCAATCCTAAAATCATGGGTCTAACAAGACTTTTTAAAAGATAACTTCAATCTTATTTATATTTAATTAAAATATTTTAATTAAATAAAATAAAATAATTAAATTAAATCATATTTAATTTAATTAACTATTAATTATCATTTATTTAATTAAATCAAATTTAATCAAATAAATTCTATAGGTGTTAATGTATTAAATAATTTAAATATTATTAATATATAATTAAATTAAATCTTATTTAATTTAATCATTCATTCTATTATAAGTGTTATATGTGTGTGACCCGAAGGTTATCATAACATTGACAATAATAATAAATCTCTGATTTAATATTATAAATGGTGAGCAGTATCTATCAACACATCACTGCTATTCAAGTGACGAGAATGACACATGATCTTACCTAACCTTTATATGATAATGATCACTTGTACAATTACTTTTTTGCGCTTATATATATATATATATATATATATATATATATATATATATATATATATATATATATATATATATATATATATATATATATATATATATATATATATATATATATATATATATATAGCACAAGACATAAAATGTGTCACCTTGTATAGTACAATATTATATTTTTCATTCCCAAGTATATTTGATAACTACAAATAAGTCTAATATCTCATATCAACTTATTTGAGCAGGACCTTTTATTTTCCAGTCTTACTCTCTCAAAGGACTCATATATGTTACTTATGTATATGTAGAAGGAGAAAATCCTACCTAGGTTACATATATCCCTCAACATGATTTGTGGAGTACTCATCAACCATTTTTATGATCATCATGTTACAGACAACGTTTGATTGAAAATAAAGTACTTGACTTCACATCTATGATCCATAGTAGTTTCAGGTTAAAGGATGGTATACACCACTATCACTACGAGCATAACTTATGAAACTTACATAACATACTATGTAATATTCTTATAGTGGGTCAATCCAGTATAAATATTACTCCTAATATTTATACATATGCAAAGACTTGATATCTCATATATTTGACTTGTGAGATATATTCATCGGTCTACTTACATAATAGTCTTTATGTATTACTATTGTCCTAATTGACAGTAAAAAAAATTTGTGAATACTTCTAAAATAATGAGATCTCACAATTAAGTCACACTTAATATATCATTAAACATACTAATTATTCTAAAGACTTTATTATGTCATATATCAAGCGCGTGATGTAAATGCATATACAACTAATATTTATTGGCTATTATGATTACTCTAACGGTTGATAAAGTCGCTTGTATCCATAGCGACAATTAGAATCTCAAGTTTAGAAGCATCAGACCTAAAATACGTCTGAAAAAACATGCGTTACCTTATTTCATATTTTTCTTTCTTTCAATCAGTGATTGTTAGTTTCTTTTTGATAGATTAACGATTTGGATCTCATTGCTCGCTATAAATTGGGCCACTTGGCGAACCAAGTTGTGCATTTTGACAATACTCCTTTCATTGGTTTCAAACAATAAACAATAATACAAGAGCTTATTTGTTGCCACAACTACTTGTCTTCGAGTCTTCGAGTATCTTTGTAAAAGAAATGTAGAATTAGGAAGAATAATGTTCAACACCAGGGAGACCAATAGGGTGTCCAATTTCAAGTTCTTGTCCTGTTTCAATAAGTATTTTAATATTCCATAAAATGGACATTATTTTGAATATCATCTTCTCTATCAGTTGCCACTTTAGCACGTTGTCTCATTGGTCTTCTTTCTACTTTCAACACAACCTTTCTTTCTTTGAAATTCTTAGCAATGCATCTGAAGAAAAATAAATAATGTGCATATGTTATTGCGCCTTCTAAGTTCTACCAATTGTTATAGATATGTCTTCGCCAAATCTATCGGGATAATCGCCATCTAAATCAATTCATTGGACTACGTGTGTGACTTGGTTATAAACACTAATGTCTATTTAGTACAAATCATTGTGGCACTATCTTGTCTCCTGCAACTTTCCAACTCTCAAAAACAAACATTTACTTCAACCACTTCTCCATTCTGTAATGCATTAAATCTCAAATTAGAAGAAACAGATTCTGCAACTGAAGCAAGATATAGAAGTGAGTGTGGTAATTACCCTGCAAAAGCTGCTATTACAAATGTGATTGCTGGAAGAAGAACAAGTGTTAAACCTGCAGTAACTACATGAAACATTCATTTTGTTCGACGTGAAACTACACAAAATTCTGCTTCGTGACAAAACTGAAAATTGTTGTTGCATGCATACTTATTCTGCACCAGTGTAAACAACTGCAGTGCAAATTCTCACAAATGAATATACTACTTTTCATATAACTTTTAATTGATGTTACTATATAGCCATTACCTATGAAAGTAACGAACTATAGTCATTATCTTCATCTACAAATATCATATTCATGACCCACTTTTTAATTGCTTATCAATTCACTTCATATTGATTATTATATTGTACAGATACTAGATCTTCTAAAGTGTGCTTTGGTTTCCACAAGCAGCTGAAGCTATAAGCCAAGGTATATTCCATGATTCTTCATTAATATTCTCATCCTCTCTTCATTAGTGTTTGTTTGGTTAGTTTATTTATTTGGGTGATGTTTGTTTTGGTTGGTGATTGAGTGATGTGGTATTAAATGATAACATATAACTTACGTGGATGCAAGGTTTATTGTGTAATAATTATGGTCTGGTTTAGATCTGCATGCAAAGATGGTGAATGAATCAGAAAAATATGGTTTTGGAAGTGTAGAAGTAGCGGTCATCAGCATGCTTTTACATACAGGTTTTCAAGTTGTGAAATGGGTTTTAGCTAAAATTTAGTTCCACATCAATTGGTGTAGAGACAAATACTCTTTATATATCAAACACACATATTTTGTATTGGATTCAAAATTGGTTGAAACCAAATGAAAAAAAAAATAGTTTATAATATGTTTCTGCACAGAAAAAAAAAGGAAGGTCAACTGTACAACATTACAGAATCAGAAATATTTGTAGGGATAACTGTCACTAATCCCCAACACACAAGCTATGAAAGTCATAATCTATTACACATGATACATAATTCTTATCAAAAGCACCATTTAAACTCACATACGAGCTTATAAAATGAGACTGATGTAGTACATGATTTAAGGGAAATCATAAGCTCCAGTAGCATACTGCTTAATCTTTGTACCATCATTCATGAAATTCATGAGCGTTGAAGTGTATGAAGATCCCTTTATTGCTCTATACTCATCGAATATAACTGCTTTGTGGCAGAAAAATATCTGGAGACACTGCGTAATCTTTGAGCAACTGATAAACATACTCTTCAAATTCAAACAATGTCTTTTCTTTCTCTTTGACAACCTTCAACTCTCTGCACTATTAGAGGGTAATTTAGTATTTTGTTATTTGTAGATAAGTTTTGATTAGGGCCTATGTGGCATTCTTATTTGTGTATAAATAGGTGTACTAGGTTTACATTTAAATCAATCAATTCTTCAATCATTTGCTGTCAGCTTTTAGGCATTTATTCCTTCCTTCTTCTTCCTCAAATTCATCACCTTGCACTAACAAATTGGTATCTAGAGCTTCTTGGTTGTTCTGAAATTCTGGAAAACACGAGTGATAGTGAGCTGTGTGTTTGATTTTTGAATCTTGAACAAAAATCTGAAACAGAATCACACTGATTCTGTGGGTTTGGGAAACACTGAGTGAGAAATCTGAGATCTGAGTTTTTCTGGGCAAAGGTTTAAGATGAATGGAGGCAGTAGTTTGAACACTAAACTTCCAGTTTTGATGGCAAAAACTGGAACAGATGGAAGATACAAATGCGTGTGCTGTTTGGTGCTCAGGATGTTCTGGACCTTGTCTCTGAAGGTTATGTTCCAGCTGCAGCAGATGCTACTGAAGAACAGAAATCAGAAGAAAGAGCTACAAGGAAGAGGGATCAGAAAGCACTGTTCTTCATCCATCAGTGTGTGGATGAAAATGTGTTTGAGAAGATTGTTGATTCGACGACGTCGAAAGGGGCATGGGATATACTGACCAGATGTTATGGTGGTGATGTATCAGTAAAGAAGGTAAAACTTCAGTCCCTGCGAAAACAATATGAAAATCTCAGCATGAAGAACAGTGAGAAAGTTTCTGAATACATTTCCAGATTGATTCTGATCACTAATGAAATGAAGGCTTGTGGAGAAACACTTTCTGAACAGGTAATCATAGAAAAGATTCTGAGGTCACTTACGCATTAGTTTGATTACATTGTTGTTTCTATTGAACATTCTAAAAATCTGGAAACCATGAGAATAGAAGAGTTGCAAAGCAGTCTGGAAGCACAAGAATTGCGTCTGACTGAAAGAACTTCTGAGAGGGAAGTGGAGCAAGCTCTGAAAGCTTCTTTTGTCAAGAAGGACCAGAAGCAGAATAGACATGGTGATAAATTCCAGAAGTCAGAAACCTCAACCTCTGATGAAAAGAAATATCAGAAGGGAAAGGAAAGGTATGACAAGAAGAAGGTTCAATGTTACTGCTGTAAACAGTTTGGGCATTTTGCCAGAGACTGTAGAAACAGAGGAAGGAAATCAGAAGAAGCAAATATAGCCAGAGAAGATTCTGATGATGAACCTGTGCTATTAATGGCCTCTGATTCTGATGGAAACTGTTCAGGAGATTGGTGGTATATGGACACTGGCTGCTCAAACCACTTGACTGGGAACAAACAATGGCTGATAGACTTTGACTCCAGAAGGAGAACAAAGATCAGATGTGCTGATGATAAGTACCTTAATGCAGAAGGTATGGGAAATGTTAGAGTCAGAGTGAAGAATGGAAGAAACATTCTGATCAAAGACGTCTGGTATGTTCCTAGAATTAAAAGCAATCTGATGAGTGTGGGTCAGCTCATTGAGAAAGGTTTTTCAGTAGTTATGAAGGACAACCTCTTGACGTTGTATGATTCTAATCAGAAGTTAATCATAAAGTCTGAGCAGGGAAGCAACAGAACATTCAAGGTGAATGTAGAAACTTCTGAAGCGGAGTGTCTTAGTGCAGAAGGCGCTGAAATTGACAGTAAGCTGTGGCACAAGAGGTTGGGGCACTTGAACTATAGAAGTTTAGGGCATCTAAGTTCTAAGAAGCTCGTACATGGCATTTCGAAGATTGTGAAGCCTCAGAAGTCATGTGAGATATGCATGAAAGGCAAGCAACCCAGATTGCCATTTGCATCAGAAGTAGCCCCCAGAGCAAAACATGCTCTGGGAGTAGTACACTCTGATGTATGTGGACCATTTCCAGTAGCTTCACTTGGAGGAAACAAATATTTCGTGTCTTTTGTGGATGAGTTCACAAGAATGACTTGGGTAACACTCATCAAGTTCAAGCATGAAGTGTTTACAGAGTTCCAGAAGTTCAAGGTGAAGGCTGAGAAGCAGAGTGGTCAGAAGCTGAAGATTCTGAGAACAGATGGTGGAGGTGAGTATAACTCTACAGAGTTCCAGAAGTTCTGTGAGGAGAATGGAATAGAACATGAGGTCACTGCTCCATATACTCCTCAGCACAACGGTCTCGCTGAAAGAAGAAACAGAACTTTGTTTGATATGACCAGAAGTATGCTGAAAGAAAAGAAGTTACCTCACATGTTATGGGGAGAAGCTGTTGCCACATCAGCATATGTTCTGAATAGGTGTCCAACGAAGAAGCTAAAGGAAACTGTTCCTTTAGAAAAATGGACTGGAGACAAGCAAAGTGTTAGCCATATGAAGGTATTTGGTTCTATGTGCTACAAACACATTCCATAGGCTAGAAGACGAAAACTGGATGATAGAAGCAAAATAATGTTACTGGTGGGGTACCACAGTACAGGTGCCTACAAGCTTTACTGTCCAGAAACCAACAAAGTTGAAATCAGCAGAGACGTCGTTGTGAAAGAGTCAGAAATATGGGATTGGAACAAGCTTCAATCAGATTCTGGTGTAGTGCCAACACCAGGGTTAGTTTCTGAAGACGAGTCAGAGTCAGAAGAAGAAGACTCTGAAGATGAGTCAGAATCTCAGGGAGATTCTGATAGTGGATCTGATTCTGATCCAGATTCTGGTGGTGATTATACTTCTGGAAGGGAAAACTCTGAAGACATGGGGTCTGGAGAACAAGTTTCCAGAAGTAACTTTGAAGGTGGTAATTCTGAAGGAAGTAGTTCTGGACAAGGTTCTGAAGCTAGTATTGTTCCGAATTCTGGAGAAGCTTCAGAACAAGATCAGAGGCCACAAAGAATCAGACGAATACCAAGTAAGTTTGCAGATTTTAGCATGTTACATGATACTGAAGTAGATTCTGAAGGAGAAATCGTTCAGTGTGCCATGCTAGTAGATTCTGAACTAGTGGGTATTGAAGAAGCGCTCAAGAAGAAAGTGTGGCTGAATGCCATGAAAGAAGAACTTGAGGCTATTGAAAGAAACAAGACTTGGAAGCTGACAGAACTTCCAAAAGGCAAGAAAGCCATCAGCGTCAGATGGGTTTTCAAGCAGAAGCTAAAGCCAGATGGATCAATTGGCAAACATAAAGCGAGACTAGTGGCCAGAGGTTTTCTTCAGAAACCTGGACTAGATTACTTTGAGGTATTTGCGCCTGTAGCTAGACACGAAACAATCAGACTGGTGATTGCTTTAGCTGCAAACAGAAATTGGTCTTTGATACATTTGGATGTGAAGTCTGCATTTCTGAACGGTCCATTACAGGAAGAAGTTTATGTGTCACAACCTCCTGGATTTGTGAAAAAGAATCAGGAAGGGATGGTATACAGGTTAAATAAAGCTCTGTATGGACTGAAGCAAGCACCCAGAGCTTGGAATCTTAAGATTGATTCATTTTTCAAGGAACAAGGGTTTCAGAAGTGTGAGATTGAGTATGGTGTTTATGTTCAGCACACTTCAGAAGGTAATATGATTCTGGTCTGCCTGTATGTTGATGACATATTACTCACAGGAAGTTCTGAACAAGAAACAGCTGAGTTCAAGAAAGTTCTGATGAAGGCGTTTGAGATGACAGATCTTGGAAAAATGAGCTTCTTTCTAGGGATGGAACTTATATACTCTGAGAAAGGAATCATTTTGCATCAGAAGAAGTATGAACTAGAGCTTCTGAAGAGATTTGAGCTAGCAAATTGCAAAGTTGCTATCACACCTGCTGATACGAATCAGAAGTTAGACTCTGATTCTGATGGAGAGGATGTGGACGCTACAACCTTCAAACAGATGGTTGATTCTCTGAGGTATTTGTGTAATACCAGACCTGATATTTGTTATGCAGTTGGAATGGTCAGCAGATACATGAGCAAACCAAAGTGGTCTCATTACCAAGCTGCTGTCAGGATTCTGAGGTATATAAAAGGAACTCTGAAATATGGAGTGATGTTTCCTTCTGGAGGAAAGATCAAATCAGAACTTCTGAGTTATTCTGATTCTGATTGGTGTGGAGACAGAGTTGACAGAAGAAGCACTTCTGGGTACTTATTCAAGTTTCTGGGAGGTCCAATCTCTTGGTGTTCCAAGAAACAACCTGTTGTGGCTTTGTCAACATGTGAAGCGGAATACATTGCAGGTGCTGTAGCTGCTTGTCAAGCAGTTTGACTTCTGAATCTGCTGCATGATCTGAAGGTTGAAGTTGAGGAACCTCTGAAGCTGATGATTGATAATAAGTCTGCAATTAATCTTGCAAAGAATCCAGTTCTACATGGCAGAAGCAAGCATATTGAGACGAAGTATCACTTTCTCAGAAGTCAAGTGCAGAAAGGAGTGTTAGAAGTTCTGCACTGCAGTACTCAGAAGCAGCTGGCAGATGTTCTGACAAAGGCAACAAAAACAGACCAATTTCTGCGCTTGAGAGATGAAATTGGTGTTGTTAACTTCTGATAAATTACTAAATTATGGGATGGTATTAGAGGGTAATTTAGTATTTTGTTATTTGTAGATAAGTTTTGATTAGGGTCTATGTGGCATTCTTATTTGTGTATAAATAAGTGTACTAGGTTTACATTTAAATCAATCAATTCTTCAATCATTTGCTGTCAGCTTTTAGGCATTTATTCCTTCCTTCTTCTTCCTCAAATTCATCACCTTGCACTAACATGCACAAAAGGAGAGCCTCTTCAACATGTGCCCAAAAGCAAGAATCTATATCACTTGTGGCATTTTTTGAGTCTTCCATCAACCACTCACTCAACTGTTTGAAGTGTTTGGACCTTTTATTATTAGCATAGTCTTTACCACCTTCTCTATAGTATTCAGCAATCTCTAGAGGCTCAACCATTCTCCTGTAAGTAGTCCCACCATATAGCCAACGGGTACGAAAAGTAGCACCTTCTTTTTGAGGCTTCATTTCAACTTCTTCAACCATCTTTTCCCAGTAACTAGTGAGCTTTCTATGGAACTCAACACCATCGTGGTCACATGGTGTGTTCATGTTTTTGTAGCTGTCATAGTAACCTATTTGTTGATTTTTAGTTTCCTTTTTGTACCATTCAAGATAGGCCATGTGTATTTTAATGTCATTCAATTTCTTGGACGGATCAAATGAAATCTTCTTCTGCAGGATGAATTTTTCTTCTAGTTCTGTCAAATTTCTTTCCAGAGCATCGATATCAATGTTCTCTTGTTGCCACACCTATTCAGAATTATATTATTAAATGATTCTAGTTATCAAGAAGAAATAGAAGATATTCACCTACCTGTATATGCGGTGTCAATCCTAGTGCCTGCAACTGCAAACTAATACCAGTTGCTAGTGAGTCTGGTTCAGTCGTGTTTTCAACCCGAGTGGAAAAACCTACGCGTGTTGCTTTCAGACGAGTCTAGATACACAGTATGGAACTATGGATACATACATGTACGATAACACCATTGTTAGTCTAATACATGAATCGCTTAATCATTGGTATACAAATCAAGTCAATAAGCCGATAGGCACTAACCCTTTTTAGTTTACTTCTCAAACTATCAATCCATGTTGTTTATGCAAGAAGGATGCGAGATGAAACGATATCTTCATTACCAACTTGAGATGATATAGTATTCCATGATTTACAAAGGATGCGAGAACTTGTTACGAAAGATGCAAGCTCGATTCCGCTGCTAAATCTGCAAAGAAAACAATCACATGTTAGTTTCATTTATGAATTGAATTTTCGGGTAAGAACAAAAGGGAACGAATTTTTTTCATTTGTGACATACAATTTAGGGTTTGTCATGGTGATTTTGAATAGAATAGCATGTGATGTGGTTAACGAGAAGAAATGGGATTGATTCACAATTTAGTCTTTCTGAGTATTGGATTCAACGACACACTTTACCAGTCCACCCTCACTTTGTTACTCTCTGCGTTAAAAAAATGAGTGTGTTTTTATATATAGATTAAAGAACACATTCATATTATTATTAGAATATTATATTTTTATTAAATTAGTTTTATTAATTTATTAGAAATATTGTGTAGAATAATAATTATATGATACAATTAGAAAAATCACTATTATTATTATATTGAAAAGTAAAAATGATATTTATTTTAAAACAATTTTTTTTTTCTAAAATCATATTCATTTTGAAACGGAAGGAGCATAAAATATTTAATTTTAGACTTAATTGCCACTTTGGTCTCACTATAATCTCTTTTTTTTTATTTTGGTTCATCTATTTTAAAAACTGGTTTTTGTAGTCCTCTATTTTATTTTTTTAAGGATTTTAGTCCCTCTTCAAATTTAGGAGCATTTTTAATGACATGGAAATAATAATAGTGACATTTTAGATATTACCCTTTTAGATATTACTCTCTCAATCTTTCTTTACTTTTGCATGTTCGCTTGTGTGTCTCGTATTTTCGTATTTTTGACATTTCACTTTTGAAGTAATTTGAGCAAAGTATTTGTGTTTTTAGGCTCATTATTTGTCTTTTACGAATCTTCTTTAGACAATCAATAGTTATCATCATGATTAAAGGGTTGATAACTTCAATTTCATTTGTTGGACATTTATGGGTCATTTATTTGCAGCAATGAAAATTGGAGATTAAACTATTTAATTAATTTGACTCACAAAAGCAAGAGTCATCACCGCGCTTTATTATTTCTAAGGGAAGAGAGAAAATTGTGAAATAAAACTCATAAATATGCAAAGTAAGTGCAATACTAAGAGTAAAGAAAAATACAATGTATTTGAAAGAGATCGAAAGTTCAGAAATTAGTTATACAAAGGGAACGTACTAGCACACTATATATCTATAGTATCCTATAGGAACCTTTTGAAATATCTGTTTTTGGTTAAAATTGGTTTGCTTGCTAAATGAGTGTGGGGATGAGATTTTTTAAAATGCGACGACCTAGTGTTGAAGTTTGGCTTAAATGAGTGTAAGTTTGAAAATTGAGTTTTTTAGAAGATTTTTCCTTAGATTAATAAAACTAAAATGTATGAAAGGAGTTTCGCATAATCATATTATTCGATGACATAAAGTCAACGAATTTAACAATTTCCCTTTGAATAGACAAATAAAAACATATAAGCTAAATGATCGAAAAATAGAAATTAACTAGAATATCAATTTAAGTAATTAAATAATTATTAACCAAAAAATAATAATTAAATAAAAGAGGCTAATGGGTATTTTTATAGGAATAAAAAAAAGAAGTTTAAACTAATATTTTTGTATCATTATTAGTATTATATTTTATGAAATTTGTGAGATAAGGCTAAAAGAAGACTAAAAAATTAAAACCACAAGGGGGAGGGGTCGAACTCAAGTTCCCTAAGCTACAACTATTCTTCCTCACCACTAAATCATTACTACTTTTCTGATATATCTATGTTCATATTTAAATAAAAGGGGAAATAATTTAAAAAATATAGTTGGACTAAAATAGAGATAAAATATGCAGAATAGTGGTAAAAGTTTCTCAATGGGTCTCGAACCCAAGACCTCCAACCACTACACCAAACTGTTCATTCATTGATGCATCTAATCAAAAACTGTAAAAGTTAAAACTGATGAAATGGGTTGGGCTAAAAATTCAAGCCCAAACCCAAATCCGCTTTTAGGAGAGAATGAAGAGGGTTTCAAAATCCTAAAAAATTGAAAGGGGCGCCGCTGGACCTTTGGGAAGAGGAAAAGTTATAATTTATTTTTATTTAATCCTTAATTAAAAGCTTATTAACTAACTTATTATTCCCAATATTTCTCTCTCTCTCTCTCTCTCTCTCTCTCTCTCTCTCATAGCTTCAACGATCGTTATGCTTCCACCCTTTTTCTTCCCAAAAATATCTCATCGTCTCTCTTCTCCGTGAAACAAAACAACAACAGAGATCTCATCTGCGGAATTGCCCAGCACTTCATCTCTCAGCCTCAGTACCGTAAACAACAACAACAATGGCAAATCTCTCTCGCGTTTTAGCCTGGTACAAATCTCAAACGCTCAAATCTCAATCTCTCATGGCCTTATCCTTTCATAACAACAACACGCATACCTCGCACAAATTGAAACAAACAGAGCCCAAATCTAAAGGAGGAAGTTTGAGAAAGATTGCAGGTATTGAAGATGCAGTGAGAATGCTGGAGAGTTAGAATAAATTATGCAGAATCTTTTTTTTAAAGATTTTTATTTTACTGTCTTCTCTTTGTTTTTTAAGTACTAACTTAATTGACTCTCATAATTTTGTCAATCTCTTCTCTCTGCTCGGTTTCACGCAAAAAACAACAACAAACTTCAGTCTCGGTTGCGGTTTCAACAACAATCAATTCTCAGTTTTGAATATCAAACGACAACAACAGTTCATCTAAAGACAACAACGTGGAGGTAAAAACAGGTGAAATAAACAGTACATGTCGGAGTCTCTCCGACAGAGCTTCCCAAACAAGTGAGTATAAGAAATCCTAACGATTCTCCTTTATACCTTCTTCTTCTTTATGAAATTATGGAAAATATTGTTGTGTTGAATTGGTGTTTCGAAACTCTTTTACAGGTTGCGTTGAAGCTGTTATTGTAATTATTAGAGAGTTGATGCTTATGCGTGTCTATGATGCAAGTCTGCGAGGATGAATTCAATTTGCAGGTAGTTGTGTAATTGTTGTTGTTGACCGGTAATGGAGGTCTGGTGGTGTTTGGTATGCGTTGTTGAGGTTTTGTGTGCGTTTTGGTTTGAGCAGAAGTTTTTTGGTAGAATTTTATGGTGCAGTTTTAAACAGAGGGAGTATGCGTTATTGTTGAAGGTTATGTTTGGTACAGGGAGTATATTATGAAGGCTGTAAGTCGGAGTGAACGTTAGTGAGTATGAAGGTGATGTTTGAGAGATTTGAAGTTGATGGAAGTTAAGGAGAAATTTTTGCAGTAAGTTTTTGTTATGCATGTTTTTCTCTTTGTGTAATGCTTCTCTGTTTTTTCCCTCCCTAATATCAGTAATTTCCCCCCCCCTCTACTGATGCTGAGCTCCCTCATTTATAATGGAACAAGTGTGGTTTTGGGGGGAAACTAGAAAGGTCTTTGAACAAATATAGTATCCTATTTTTATCACTTTGTTGATGTAGTTTTTGATTACCTATTTTAGTGCTATCCTTGGACTGGTTTGGACTGCAGGTTTTGGACAAGATTTGCAGGGTATGCATCTTAATAGCAGTGGACAATATTGCAGGTTTGGACTGCAACATTTGGAGTTTTATGGACAGCAACAACAACAATTTTTTTGGAGGTTTCTGGGCTGCTTTTGGACAATTTTTAGGCATGGTTTATGGACTTATTTTGGCATGTTTGGAGCTGGAAGACTTGTACATTAGGTCTAGGTTTTTATTTTGTAATCTTGTAAACAACATGATTTTATAGAGTGGCTTGTAATGGAAACTTGATTTTTTTGAATCTTGTGTAATATTATGATTGAATGACCTTCGAATCATGAATAAAAGGTTTAGCACCAAACTGAATGAAATCTCGTAGTGAAACTTGTACCTGAAAGAAAATACTTGAAAGATGTAACTTGCATCATTTCTTTGTACATAGTATATTTCTCTAAACCATTCAATATTCAATTCTTTTCCAATTCTTTATTTTGTTTCACACTTCATTTGAATGAATGTTTGGATGATGAATGATCATGATGAACTTATGAACTTGATTGAAACTTGAACTACACCTTGAATAAGTCTTGTAATCTTGTTACTTGTGAACAAATCTTCCAACCTTGAAATATGGGTTCACTTTGACAAATTTGAATCAAAAGAATCTCTTTGAATGAATATTGAGAAATGATGAACGTATTTGAAACCTTGAATTATTTTGAACCTAATGACATTTCTCGAGTGAATCTCCAAATTATTTCCAATGAGACCCTAATTCAAATTTTCAATTCATGGTAACTTGCAATACAAGCCAATAGTACTTGAAAGAACAATGATGCCTTAAGAACTTTGGTCTAAAATCCACTTTCATCTAATAATCACCAAATGCTCAGACATAAGTAACTTGAAAAAGCAACAAACATTCAAAGAATTATCGAACTCGACATCTTGTACCATGAATGATCTTAACATAAGAATCAATGTCTCAAGAAAACAATTATGGCACGACTTGAAGTTAGAAGTTAAGAACATTCTAAATCAAGAAAATGACCTATAATGTTTCGATAAGTTCCATAGCCTTCAAAGTATAATTTGATTCCGATCTTTGGTGAAAACTTATAGATGACATCATCTGTGTTAATTGTGAAAAAAGAATTGCCTTAAAATGTTGAAAATCGAGGAAGTTATGATCTGTTGAAGTCGGGCAAGAACTACTTGAAATGAGGTCAATGTCTTCAAAGTGACTTCTAAAGTATTCGAATTTTTTATGATCCTCCGCACATAATAAGCTCTTGACTTGTAAAGGGAAGTTGGAGATGTCATCAAGGAGAGTCATGCGCGAAAAGAGCCACTAAAAATATTGAATAATGAAGAAGTTATGATCATTTGAACTTTATCTTGCAAAAGTTGACTTTTGGTCAAAGTGCTTTAGATCGACTTGCAAACTTGGTCTTTCCTCGCGTTCCCATACATATTAATGCACATATGGCCCAATGATAATGAAATATGGACTATGCCAAGCTTTGACGAAATATCCCCCTTGAGAGTTGGTGATTTGCCATACTTGAACACTTGAGGGATCCAAAAACCCTAATTGGGGCGCGACACCTGACGCTCTTAATTTCGACCTGTCTCTGCACATGAAATCAAAGAAAACATAAACATACATCTGTGTATGGGATTAGAAGTCAGTGATGCATAAGATAAAAGATTCACAACAATTGATAATCTCTGCATAAGCAATGCTCAAAAGTGAGCGGATTAAGAAAAACCAATTCTATCTCGTGACCTTGATGCTTTATGAAAATGCAATTGAATATGGGATCTTAGGTCAAAATTTTGGGTATGACATTATTGACAAAATGATATGAAGGGGACTAAAATCCTTTAAAAAAATAGAAGACCTATAAAAACTGATTTTTAAAATAAGAAGACCAAAATCGAAAAAAATAATAATAATAGAAAAACCAAAATTACAATTAAACTTTAATTTTATTTGTGGGATAAATATAAGTGATTCATTGTAAATTTTGGAGTTGAAACTTTATTTACAAACCATATTGCTTCAATTAAGTAGAATTTTCTCTTTCATAAAACTTAGAAATGTTGCAAACATTCTCTAAAAAAAGGAATTACTCGTTAGACACACCCTTATATAAATATAATATACTTTTGAAAATTCAAAATTACCATTCATGTGTTCGCAAATATATTTTTGGACACATCTAAATCACAACTAAAATGTATTATTATAAGATCCACCTCATTTTGAACAAAATATAATCCGGAGATGCATCTCTCTACGGTATTTGGTGCATTCGTAGATGCATCTGCGAAATGTCTCTTGGAAATTTTTGAAAGCGTAGTAAATATAAAAGGGGAATTATTTCAGAGATGCATCTATGTAATCTTTCTTGAATCATATCAGAACAATAATATTGTTCAAACATTCAATTTTTGTGAGACCAACTTATATTAACGTAAAATCAAAATAAAATGAAGTTATATTAAAGTTAAAGGAAGGTAAAAATTCATATATTAATCAAAAAATTAAGATAATTCATACATAATATTTGTCCGTAAATATATATGAAAATACAAAAAAAATAATAAACATTCCAATACAAACTATTGGGTATGTCTAACCATCAGCCTCCTCTGTCGCTTGTACTGCACGATATTTCGTAACTCAGAAATCATGCACACCATTGGGGACAATTGGGGACTGCCATCCTCAAAGAGTCTTGACTCTATGGCTGCTTTACCCGTCTGTGCAACATGTCGGTATACCGTCGTCACGTTCTTTGCCTGCTCATCTCGAACCTCAAATACCTTTTGATAAGCTGGCATCGGTGGTTCCCCCATATGATATAACATAAAATCTCCAAAAAGCATAACAAAACAATCAAACATTCGACCCCTGGTGTTACATATCAGAGCAGACATTGACTCAATAAAAGCTTAATGGAGAGAACTCTCTTCTACTCGCATCCACATCTTCACTGTGGATCACCTGTGTGTTACTCACATGGAGGCAACATTCAAATAAAAAGGGTGAGATATCACAATTATATAAATCAATGCACAATACACTACTAAAAAAAAGACATTTGAGAAAAAGTTTTTACATCGGGTATCAAAATATATGATGTAAAAAATACAATTAACAAACTTTTTACATCAGATATTTATTTGCAATGATATAAAAAATAAGAAAAAAAATATATTTCGCTACCTATTACATCGGGCAATCTCATCCACCGATGTAAAAGGTTTTCAGAAAAAAAATACGGTGGCATTTTTGTAAATAAGAAACAAAGTGGCAGAAATGTAAATAAAAAACAAACAAGATATTACCATCGGGTAATAGGTTCCACCGATGTAATAGGTTACAAACCCTTACATCGGGTAATAGGTTACATTCAAATTCCCATCACCTCTTCATCTTCATCTCCCTTTTATCGTTTTCCTCTCTCTACTCTCTCATGTTCCATTCCACAACCACAACCACAACCCCAACCCAACGCCACCCGTAATTCCAATGCCACTTCCTATTTCCCTAAATGCGGCCAAACCCTCGAATTGCTCTGTGAATCCCTCGCATTCAAAGGCAAAGGTCTATGCAAAGTCACCGAAACCGGTTATGTTGTCATGTGCGACCGTGCCCTCCCCGACGAACGCTTCATCGGACGTATCACTCGGAAAAAGGGTAATTACGCTGAAGCTACTAAGCTTCAAACTTTAACTCCTCCTTTTCATACTGTATATGCTCCTTGTGTCTATGTTCCTCATTGTGGTGGTTGCAAGACGCAAAATTTGGCTTTTCAAGCTCAGGTTAAAGCTAAAGAGGAATAGGTTTGTGACATGCAAGATATTTCGATTCGTCTATTCCAGCTTATCTAGTGTTGTATATGCACTTTTGTGAGACCATTAGGAAGAATTTGTAAAATATGCTATAACATCTTCATAGATTCGGCATGATAGCTTATGCTAACACTTTATAGTTTATATAGAAACAGTTTGATTTTATAATCTATAAGCAATTAATTAAGCTCTTTATACAAACAGGTTCGCGACTTAATCATACATGTTGGAAGGTTTTCTCAGAAAGAATTGGAATTGCATGGGATTATGAAGCCTATTGTTCCTTGTGATATTCAATTTCATTATAGGAACAAGGTTGGTTAGTTAGTCAGTTATTGCTCTATTTGGTTTTGTTTTTCAAAAACTAAATGTCCGATGCAGATGCATTTAGTTGATAATTAAGATGTGTTGTGGTCTGTTTTCTTTCTTGTCTAGATGGAATTCTCGTTTGGTCCTTATAAATGGTTGCCTAAAGAGTTGCTGCACGAAGGAAATGTTGATGGTGGAAGTGAGAATTATGCACTTGGATTGCATGTTCCTGGTTTTTTTGATAAGATTATAAACGTTGACAAATGCTTACTCCAAACTGATCCTGCTAATAAGGTATGGAATGTTATTAATAATTTTTTTTTGGGATTCAATTGTTACTTGTTTCTGTGATAATATCCTACACTTATTTCATTTCCTATCACAACTGGGAAGTTTATTACACTCTGCTCATGTTTTGACTTGAACATTTGAATAGGTTCTTGCAGCTATTCAAGAGTGTTGGAGGGATCCACAACTTGGTTTCTCTCCTTACAATGTTCATTCACACGTAGGATTTCTTAAGCATTTGATGCTAAGAAGTGGAAAGTATTTAAGGTATGAAATTTGATTACGTCTCCTTGCCGCCGTTTCACATCTCCTTGCTGCCGTTTGACGTCACCTCGCCGCCGTTCACGACTTTTCACTGGACGATTCACGCCCTTCCTCGCTCGCCGTTTCAACTGTAAGTCACATTCTTCACTTATTTGATCCACAATGTGACTTATTCAAAATATAGGTTAGGTTTGCTAGTTAGTTATGGGTTAGGTTAGGTTAGGGATTTTGATGAGTGGTTAAAATACATCATAAGGGTGGAGCTTGCAGAAGATGTTTGTGACTAAATTTGTTTATTAATATTAACAGAGACACACACAAGTAAACAGTAGAGAGTAGTCACTAGTTCGCTTTTCATTTACATTTTATCCTTGAATGAACAATCACAACTTTAACCGTTTGGTTATAATATATTGGCATATATGCATTATGTTGTGTGTTAGTTTCTGTCTTTCTGACCAGGGTCATAACTAACGTGTGTTGTTGGAGTTCATTAGATATCTTAAATTTCATCTCCATTTCCTCTTCATAAGTTTACACCATTTTGTTCTATATTTATCGTCAGATGAGTAGTGCAGCAGGAAAGACACCTGCCCCAGGTCAGGCTATATACTCGGCTTCTAAATTTACATTAAATGGGTACTTCCATTCCTTGCGTTCAGAGGTATATAGATAGTTTTTATCATCTTTGATGTTGTTTTATCCAACTATTATCTTACAATACACATCTTGCACCACTAATCTTTTTATGGTGGCAGCTCTGTCAGAAAGGAATCCAAGTAACTGTTGTTTGTCCTGGGCATCTTGCACCACTATTATCTTACACATCTTGCACCACTAGTCTTTTTATGAGACTCAATGTTTATGATGTTACACATACATATAAATTTGTTTTGGATTCTACTCACAATGAGGTTATTTTCTCTCTGGGCATAATGGTATTTCAGGATTTCAAAGTCCCCTTCACCGTCACCCTGGAAGGCTCAATCAAGATCACGATCGAGATCAAGGTCGAGGTCTGTGCCTAGACAAAGACCAAGATCTGACTCCAGAGGCCGTGGCAGGTTAATAGCAAAAACGGTTTAGCTTTAAAGGGGTTATATTTTATTTTATAAACCGACTTCTCTAGCTCTCTTTGTTTCTGACACTTTTTACTTTTCTGACCTCTCATTATCACTCTGGAATGGATGGTTTTTTTCTTCTTTTTCAGATCAAGGTCTCGGAGCCCGGAAAGGTTGGGCCTTTTTCTGTTTATGTTTTTAATCCTGTTGTGATTCATTACCGAAAGCCATACTTCTTAACTAGTACTTCTCAAAGGGATAGCTGTGCTTTTGTGTTAACTTGGGTCTATTGATATGCTATTAACTTTCATCGTATCAATTGTATTGCATGGCGGCCAATCCTACAAATCCTGGTAATACACTTTATGTTACTGGTCTATCTTCAAGGGTCACTGATAGGGACCTAGAGGACCATTTTTCCAAGGAGGGAAAAGTGAGTAGCATATCGGTTTTCTATTCATTTATTCAATGGTTCTTTTCTTCAGTAGGTTGCTTCCTCCTGGAATAATTTTATTCAAAGGTTGTTTTTTCATCTATAGGTTGCTTCATGCTTTCTTGTAGTGGAGCCACGTACCCGAATTTCTCGTGGTTTTGCTTTTGTTACTATGGATTCCCACGAGGATGCTGAGCGGTGTATCAAGCATCTCAACCAATCAGTTTTAGAGGGCCGCTATGTCACCGTAGAACGGGTAATGTGTTTACTTTTCACTTGTGACAGTGGTTGGTAAAACAAATGTACTTTTCTTTTCTTTCATCGATGCAAATATAGCGAAACTGCTAAATCAATGGCAAGCTTAGACAGCTAATCAAATGCTACTGATCAACTTAAACATATCAACTATATTGCCCATTCAACCTTTCAACCTCAGCATTCACTTTCAACTCTCAACTAAACAACGGACATTTTCAACAACTTTATAATCAGCCTTTTTTATGGTATCTCACACCTGGCACTAATCACGCGCTCGTGGATATGATTTTTCCTCCCTTTTTTAGAAGCTGGCCTCTTTTACCTCTAATCCTTGATGAAAATTCTTTTAGAGGATTCTATTAATATAATTTAAAAATGTTACTTCATAGAACAGACAAAAAAGATGTCACAAGAGTTTACTTGCTTTCATTAGTATTCTGTTGATATGTGTTTTATATCATTGAAGCACTACTGATTGAGCTCCTGTATTGTTTCAGTCAAGAAGAAAGCGTGCAAGAACTCCAACACCAGGGCACTATCTTGGGCTGAAAAATACTAGAGACTATGGTAAGTTTGATTGAGAGACATCTATCTTGAATGGTGAATATGTTCTTTTTGCATTTTCCATACTTCATTTCCTGAAGTCTACCTTTTTTTTTTGTGAAGGCTCTCGTGGTGACAATCGTGATGACCATCGTGGCGGAAATCGCGGTGAATTTTACATTTTAGGGGTAAATTTCTCTTGGAAACATTTTTAGTATTGTTAGGAAAATGCTATTCCACCACATTTTTATCTTAGCCCCTTTATTCAACGGAGCTGTATTATATTTCATTTAGTGAATTTTAGAGCATTGACAGTTTTGAAAGACCTTACGAGGGGCCAATGAGTAAAAGGTTATTACTTGTTAGGTTAACCTTAATCAGATATGATTGAGGATGTGTGCAAAACTATTTTACACCCAGTTTAAATAATTGAATTTTATATGATTTTTATTTAAATTGCAAGGTTTAACCTATGTGGTTGTGCTAGCACATTAACAACTAATATTGTTTACGAAGTTCTCTACTGAATGTAATGTTTTTGTTTTCTTTCTACAATGTAGCGTCCCCACTATTTTTAACCTAAATAAAGAAGAAAAAAAGCTGCAAGTAGGAAAGTTATACCCCTAATTGCAACTTCTAACTTATGTTTAAAAAGATGAAAACTAAAAATATGAAAACTCTCCTGTTCTTTATTACTATTTTTAGTTAAAGTTCTTCATCTCTTTAAGTGTTCACAACATTATTATCATCTTCATTTGTTTTTTTACTATATTTCCCCCATATCCCGAACTCTAAAACTAATAAGTGAAAATGGGCGCTACAATGGACTCAATACACTCTAGTGGTTTGAATTTATGAACAAAAATTATCTATTATTTTGAGTGTGAGGTGTGCACCAGACTGAAAGCGGTTCTTAGAATGTAAAAAGTTGCGTCACTAGGGACTTTTTACATCGGGTATTACTACCCACCGATGTAAAAAACTGGATCAATTTTTAAAAAAAATGTGTATAATAACTGTTTCTTACATCATTTTTATATTATAACCGATGTAAAAAAGGGACTTTTTACATCGGGTATTACTTCCAACCGATGTAAAAAATTACATCATTTTTTTTAAAAATATTGTAATAACTATTTCTTACATCATTCTTATATTATAACCGATGTAAAAAATGGACTTTTTACATCGGTCCCAGAACCGATGTAAAAAGTACCTGATTTACTATATCGCCTGACTTTACATCGGACCCAGAACCGATGTAAAAAGTCAGTTTCACCCGATGTAAAAAGTCATTTCTGCACTAGTGATAATAAGTAAGCATTCGATTATTTCACACATAATCATCCATTCTACCAAACACACTTTCACACAATCTAAATACACAACAACATCGCAAGTATGCAATGCAATGAGACTCATCACATGACTCAATGCATATGATACCAATATGTGAACTCTCAGGTTCACTCACTCCCAATACCCACCATAGGATCCAAGCACACCAAAAACCATTACCATCATCGTAGGTAACACTTTACTGATTTCCACCTGGAACCAGCTACTTGCACCTAATCCCTACCATAGGATTGAGGCTCACCAAAACGGACCACCGTCCAAACACCAATGATGCATGATACATAATAGATAAGCAACAACAACAACAACAACAAATACATTGACTTTCAACTTAATCAATTGTACCACGCCAATATTGGCCATCATACACTACACACATGCTATAAACATTCTGCAACAACACATAATAGTATAGAAAGCAACAACAATGCATTCACGCAAATTCAAAACACTGACATCATATTGCAACATATAATTACACACCATTACACATCATTTAAATTATTTCTAAAAACAAGAAACTATTTTTAAATGAAAGTACATTGTCTCAGCTCTATATGGCTTCAAATGGTGCTTCAATCGGACACCAGAAACTCAAGATATGAATTTTTAAAGTTTTATTAAAAAATCATGTCAGAACAGTGGTAATCGGTTACACCAATACCTTTAACCGATTTAACACAACACCGGAGCTCCCCAAAGTGACACGCTTGGTCTCACAAATTTCTTTTCCACCAAATCCTCTAATTTTCTTTTTCAATTCAGCTAATTATGACGCTAATATCCTGTATGGTGCCATAGAAATCAGTCTAGTACCAGAGACAAGATCAATAGATAACTGATGAGTGCTAAATTGTTGTGTTTTTTAGTATGAATAATTAGCACTCACCGGCTTAATTCGTTTGTTTTTCGTCAATAAACCTCAACTTTAGTATATATTCGGTATAGTTTATGTTATAGTGTATATATTGCGTTATCGTGTAAATATCATTGAGTTTAATTGATTTTATATCATTTTTGTAGGTATTCAAGCATTGATATTTAGTAATTTTTAGAAAGAGCATTGAATAAGCTTTCCAACGCTTCCGTCCGTGTGCAAATCAGAGTTATGGTTCTCAAGTTATGGCTGAAACTGTGCTGGTTTTTCAACTTACTATCAGTTGTCGTCCCAAGCTCGTCAGGCGACGCTGGGGCGACCAGATGCGTGGGAAAAACGAAATTTTGAGCGTCGGGCGATGCTTTTTGGTTGGCAGGCGATGCGGACCAGTCAGAAATACGTATTTAGGGGTGAAAACACATTTTTTGGATATGGTTTTGGGTATTTTTGATCCAAACTCCACCAACCTTCATTTTTTGATAGGA